GAATCTACAGGCAGGAGCTGATATAGAGATATTGGTGGAGTGATGCTTACTGGTTCACTCTTCATGGCTTGCTCAGCATGTGTTCTTAGAGAAGCCAGGTGCATCAGCCTCTGGGTGGCTCCACCCACAATGAGCTGGGCCCTTACCCATCAATTGCTAATTAAGAAAATAAGCTATGGGCTTGCCCACAGCCTGATCTTACAGAGACATTTTCTCAATTTGAGGTTTCCTTCTTTCCAACGACTCTAACTTATGTCAAGTCGACATAAAACTAGCTAGCACGGCCATTTCTCTCAGCTAAGATTTCCCCTCAGGCAATGATTAAATTGCTCTGGCCAAGGCCCCAGTGTCAGTTGTTAGAATCCTTTAGCTGATTGTTAGAGGCATATTAAATATTTAATTTTCTGAAAATCTCCAAGATTTATCATGTAAATCTGTTTATTCTTCTACCATAACTCTACCTCATTCTGTTTTATAATTATCTCTTTACATGCTTATTTTATAGTTTGTGAGTCTATAAGAGAAAAATAGTTTGCTGTTTTTATTTAATTCTCCCTATTGTTCTTGGGCCATTATTAAAATTGCTAAACAGATAGAATAATAATTTATATTTCTGCTTGATATGAGTAGACAAAAAAAGTCTTCTGTCCATAGGTACATATAAATAATGTTGCTTGCATGTATGTAAGTTTAGGATAGACCATTTGGCATTGGATAACCCATCATGGGTCATGGCCTAGTGAAGACTGATTCTTCTATTTTCAGCAGTCCTCAGTCGCCTGTAGCTCTTCATCTAGATGTAGAACCTTGTGAAATTTCCCTGATCCACCTTGGTGTGTGAACTTGTGTTGCAACTGTTCAGATTTTATTTATGAAACCGTTGAGATTCCATGGGCTCAGCTTCTCTGTCACAGCTAGAAGGCAGTATTCCACTGTAGCCTACCTGATCTTCTGTTTGTTTTTTTTTTTTTTTTTTTTTTACAATCTTACTATCTCTTTTCCAAACTGTTTCCTGAGCCTTAGGTGTAGGTGCTGTATTGAAAATTTATCAGTTATGGCTGGGCACTGCATAGCCAGTTGTTTTCTGAACTGTGATTAGTTATTGATTTCTGTAATAGTCTTCACATGATGTGAAAAAGAACCTCCTTTGATGAAGGGTGAGGAATTACACTTATTTGCGACTACAACAATAAGTATTTAGAATGCAGTCAGGGTTACACTGGTTTAGGAAACAGAGTAATAGGTTCTCCTCTAAGTTCAAAGGCCTCATCAGCCACAGGTATAGGTATTTCCTATACATATCCTATATAGGGATCCTATGTATATGTGTGTAGATCCTACTAATTCAATTGAGATAATCCCAATAAGTATTTTATTGATTATTTATTTATTTATTTATTTATTTATTTTTGCCAGTAGTGTTTGGTTTTACCTTTGGTCTCTGGGCTATCTGGTTTCTGGATCATGGTTACTGAAACAGTGTTAGGTATGGATTACTTCTCCTGGTGGGGGCCTTAAGTCAAATCAGGCATTCGTTGGTTACTCCCAAAGCTTTGTACAATTATTGCCATGGTGTCTTTTGCAGGCAGGCAGCATTGTAGATCAAAGATTTTGTGGCTGGGTTGGCGTTTATGACCTTCTCTGGTAACGTGCTGAGTGCCTTCCCATACCAAAGACACTAGAACACAGGGGTGAAGGTTGTGTGTAGACACCATCTCAAATTCTCCATGGTCCCTGAGTTGTGTTGGTGTTGTCTTCAGCAATGAGGCCTTACTGTCAATTCACAGAGCGCTATCTACTGTTTTGTCAACAGCCTTGACTGTTTGTGGATTTCCATGTGAACTCTTTGCCACAGAACTCAATTGTATGTAATTCTATCTGTACTAGGAACTTTGATGACAAGAGATGGCTAGCTGAAACTCCTGTCACCTGAATCAAGATTATCCCTTTTTAGAGGTCACCAATAATAGTTTTAATTGCTTTGTGTATAATATCATTATTATAATATGGTTTCTATGCTATCTGTAAACTATCAGTTTTAAGGGCTGTCTTAAATATATGTGTTAGATTTTTAAATAAACTAACTGCTTGGTTGAAAATTAGAAGTCAAGTCTCAAGCCGGAAATATTACCTTCATGAAAACACCCAGATCTTTCTGTATTCTACTCTTAGAGGTGCTAAATACCTCTATTGTGTTTAATTTTAAGAATAATCACTATTTTCTTAGACTTTATTGCTAAATTTTTGATTTGTTTTGTTTTTTTTTTTCAAGACAGGGTTTCTTTGTGTAGCTTTGCACCCTGTCCTGGCACTTGCTCTGTAACCAGGCTGGCCTCGAACTCACATGGACCTACTTGCCTCTGCCTCTGGAATTAAAGAGATGTGCCACCACTTAGACGTAAGGAGGCACGATGCAAAAATAGTTTCTAATCTATTCAAAAATGAAAAATCTCATCTTATTGCAGTAATTTTCCACCAAGGGAAGATATCAGTACTATCAGGTTATCATCCCCCCCCCCCCCAGAGCAGTAGATCTAGACATTCCTAATGCTGCAACCCTTTAATACAGATCCCATGTTGTGGTGACCTGCAAACATGAAATTGTTTTTGTTGTTACTTTGTGACTGTAATTTTGTTAGTTGTGAATCATAATGTAAATATCTGATATGTGACTCCCATACAAGGTCATGACCCACAGGTTGAGAACCACTGCCCTAAAGAAACCATGAGCTTTAAAGTTCTCTCATGAGTTCTTATCTCCTATCATTTATCCTTCTCTTTGTAGGATCTGTAAAATGTATCCTTCCCACTTCATGTTCACTGAAAACAAAACAAAGATTTAAAATCCCTTTCAAATAGCTCTTATTCTTTTTCACTGGCAGTAAAGAATACTCTCTGCCTCCAAATTCCTCTCAGGATCTGAACATATTCTACTGATGTTGTGTGTGAAGAACCTCTGCATACATGCTTAGCATTCCTTACATGGTCTGGCCATCCTGTCTTCTTTTCTCTTTTTCTAACAGTATCATTTGCCACTTGAAAACTATTTTTGCCAAGTGATTTCTTCACTTGGTTTTTCACACTTCACATTCTCCTGGTCATTCCTCTTGCCCTACCTTAGGTCCTCCTGCTTCCCTACTCGCCATTTCTAATGTAGCCCCCAGACTTCTAGATACTTCAGTCTTTCTGAGTTTTCTGTTTTAGTGGTCTTACTGAACATCATGACAAATAGCTTCCATCCTTTGTGTGCTTCCAAGTTCCTAATTAAGTTAGAAATTGTTTTCTATAGATCAGAGTGAACTGACTACACATAAGCATCACCGTAGCTGTATAAAAAGATCTCAGCCATGTTTCTACCTCGTTTTCCCCTCAATCCAGACCAAACAAAGAGCATCCTTATCCAAGCATCCTTATTCCAAGTAGATGCCACTGCCATACCTCTAGTGTCAGCGAGATGTATACTTATTGTACCTTTCCATTCTATGTCTCAATTATTTCAATTGATTTGTGTTTTATTTGTTTGTTTGTTTTGTTTTGTTTTTTTAAGCCTAGAATTCCTTACTTTCTCACATGTAAGGGCAGAAGAAAAAGCACTCACACACACGCTGTGAGTTGTACCTTGATGAGCATGTTACACACATGTCTCCTAGTCTGTGCTGTACCACGATCATCCCTAGCCTAAACTATTCTTCCCTGTCTTCCTGTTTGTAACCTGAGATCATTTCAGCCTTCAGACCTGCTCAAATCTTCCTGAGACTTCCTATCTTAATCAGGGTGAAAGCCTGATTTTGGAACACTTAACCAAAAGATGATACAATACATTGATTTAATTCTAATCTTTTAAATATATCAAAGGAAGAAGATAGTTGAAAAGCAAAACTAGTTTTTAAAATTCAGAAAAAAATTACTCTAAAACTTAATTATATATTAATGAAAGCTCAGGTGTAATTTATACTGTGGCTGTACATAATCACTCAAGCAGATATTAGAAACTACTTTCTGACTTTAGAGAAATTTTCATATAATCAGAATACTGTTTTATAAATCCTAATATTTTGTTTATTTTTCTTATTTAAGTTCTCATTTTAGAAGATTAAAAAATCTACCAAGACACAATAATAATGTGATTTGTAGGCTTCTGTTTTACCTAATTCTATTATGGAAGTTACTAGAAGTTTAAGTTTAAAGGGTTTACATTTAAACACTTTAAGATACTAGAATTTTAAAAGGCTTAAATGTAATATACTTCACTCTCTTTGACAAACTAACCACCTTGATATCTCCAAGATTTTTCTCATTGTTTTACAAATTATAGCGTTTTACTATATGTATGTATGTATGTATGTATGTGAGTCTAGTCAAATTTGTAGCCATTCTTTGAAAATATACATGACCACCTTCTCCATGATACTATGCTGTATCCTGTGGGCCAATGACTATTTCAATCTTCCTGAACAAGTATAACTCAGTGACTTTAAAACTTGTGTAATGAAAATGTGTATTATTTAGGGCTGGAGAGATGGTTTAGCAATCAAGAGCACTGGCTGCTTTTCCAGAGGTTCTGATTTCAATTCCCAGCAACCACATGGTAGCTCACAACCACCTATTATGAAATCTGGTGCCCTCTTCTTCCAAGCAGGCATACAAGTAAGCAGAGTAATGTATGCATAATAAATGAATATTAATAAGAGGAAGTATATTTTTTCATTTTTTTCTGCACTTCCTTTAGTTTATAGTCTTTAGTAAGGTATTTTTTTTTTTTTGGTAATTCTTTAATGCTTAGTACCAGATGTTTTACATTACTCCTTTCTTTTGTGTGTGTGTATATATACATATATATGTGTGTATTATGTATTTCCATGCTATTTCATTAACGTAGTACAGCAGGATATGTTTTCCATTTCTGCATAAAACATAGCCTAGATATATTTCTGGAAAACAAACTTTCTTAAGTTATCAGGCAATGACCTAAGTTTCTCCTTTGTTTTAATGTCCTTTAGCAAGCTCCATTGCCAAGATTGGCTCAGATCCTCTAAAATTCATAAATGATGCTACAGAGGAAACAACTGACTGGATCTATGGCTTCTTTTCTTTGCTGTCTGACATCATCTCATCTGAAGGTGATGAAGAAGATGAGGACACAGATGAGGACATTGATAAAGGTACCCAGGGCTCAGAGTCGTATCCAAATGCTATGACTTGGAATTGCAAACGCTTGACATTTGTAGGTGATGGTTTAGCCCACATGAGTACTTGGCCAGGCTAAACTAAAATGAATACACATAGAAGTACAAAAATCACTCCAATAAGCTGCCAAATAGAGTAAATCACTCTCCATTTGGCTTTAATCTTATAGTTTATTGGCCATTATGGAAAATATATCAAAATTAAATGTTGCTATTAGAGTGGTATTATAGCATGGATTCCTAATATAAATGACCATAAAACTGCAACAGATTACCCACTTACATGTTTATTTGAGACAGAATAGATATTTTTTTTCAAGTTCTAGAAGGGTTGAAACAAAAATATTAAAGCCAACCATAACATATTTTGTACATGTAAACCATAGTAACACTCAAATGGCCATAACCAATCTTAATAAAAGACCAATAAAAACATAAATCGTTTGAATCAAATGGAGGTACAGAATAGAAGGATACGTTTTAAATACTATACAAGTAAGTAGCTCACATATAATGAACGAAAGTAAACACAGGAGCAAACTGCATATAAGTTGGCATCTAGAGTTTTTGCAATGAAGAAAGTATAGTGATGTAGTCTACTAAAAGACATTTAAAAAATGATTACTCTTACTCATTCAAGATTATCCATTCAGTCTTACTGTACATGAATATTCTATTAGGGCCCCTTTTATGACTTTGTCTGAATTTATTTCTGTTTTGGTCCTGCACAAAGTGACAATAAACAGAGAAAATTGAAATTAATATGATGCATGAGCTATAATGCACTAACTTGGAGTGATGCCATGATTTTATTGAACTCATAGAATGAAACCATCTTAAATTCCAAAGATATATATATATATATATCTTTGGAATTTAGGTAGCAAAGTATGTAAAAATCGTGACCATTGAAAGAAATCACCTGCAAAAATTAATAAATAGCAAAATATGTGTAAATAGGAAATCCCTGCTACCAGTTACACTAATTTTCTATTTTTTTTTTCTTGGTTTAGGAGAAATAGAAGAACCTCCCTTGAAAAGAAAAGGTTTGTTTTGTTCATTTTCCAGCATTTTCTTTCTTTTGTAAATATGTATAATACTGATTTTGAGCATGGCTTTGATGCTTCTCACTTTCATTTTTACTTGACATGTTTCTTATATATGGTTTTGTTTAACAACAAGAGCATGTAAAGCTCACAATTAGAAAGGGCTGCTGTACCTCCCAGTGAGCTCATCCAAATAGATTTCAGTTGCTTTTTTTAGTGAAGGGTTTTGTCAGTATATTTGTATTCCTCTGTCTTTGTACAACCAATGTAGGTTGGGATTTTTTCAAAGACAGAGAATTTTGTAGCTGTGAAAATGGTCCAGAAATTGATGATACCCATATTTAGTTTTATTATGGTCAGATTTACTGAGTTCAAAAATTTATGCTCTTTCCTTTTCTTATTTTACTTTCAATAGTTTATATCTCAGATAATGAAAATGATACATAATAGCCTTCATAGTGTGGAGCATATGATCTTGGGGAGAAGTCATATCAGTATATGTATATATTGGCCAGTCCCAAAAGAAGAAGTAAGTTGCTTGGGATGTGTGGAAATGATGTAGAGCATTTTCTTATAGGCAAAGCAAGGGAGTTGGTGAGCAGCATGCTTTGGGGAAAAGTAGTGCATTTCTGAAACAAAGATTTTCCAACCAAGCATAGGAAATATCCCTGGAAATGGCGATGAAAACCAAGGTTACCAACCTGAATACATGTGATGTAAGTGAAAACTAGCCAATATTTTATTCCACTGCATTTGTTAAGTTGCAGATGCATATACCTATTAAAACCTTGAGTTATCCACTCAGGATAAGTTATTCTCCAAAGACCACTATGGGATCTTTGGGACTGAATGCAATCAATACATCCAGTCCAGACCTAGGTGTGAGTGAGCCATCAGAGCAGGTGGTCAATACCATATTGGTTGGAAGAAAATTAGAACATTTTATCTCCACCACAACAAAAAGAACTGAGTTAGTGAGGATCCAGTAGGGCAAAGTCATCCTGAAACAAATGTGATTTTGAAGAGCTATGAGGAGAAAGGCAATTATGCTGACCTCAAAAGGGAGGATGAGAATTGAAAAATTCAAGTCAGAATTGAGTTACCAAGTTCAAGCTTCGAAATTCTAGATTAACATGCAAACTTTGTGAGGACATGAACAGGGTCTTTTCAAGGCTGATATTTAATAGCTGTTGACCAGGACATAGAGAAATTTCAGTCAGGCTAATGAGCTGTTGCTTGTAAGGAAATGATAAGTCATGTACATGTCTATTTTAATTGTTGATAGAGAGAAAAAATCAAGTAGGAAAGTTATTCTTACTTATAAATTAATTACCAAATTTATCATAAAATAATAACTTACCATATATAATAATGTTTACCTTTTAGTAAAAGTTTCTTTCTGATATGACTTTTTCATTGTGATTAATTTAAAAATAAACTTTTGTGAGATTATCAGCATACAACATAGATCCACAAAGTTGTTCTAGTATTTTTCCTTCCATCACTGCCTTGATTCTTCAAATCAACAGCAAAAATCTACTGGTTAATTGTTTAGGATACTTTTCCAAATGCCAGGAAAGGCATAGGCATTAGTCAGGACAATCTAAGGAAATATATATATATATATATATATATATATATATATATATATATATATATATATTGAAGCATTGCATTGCATATTCAAAAGTAGAAAGATAATTGACTTTAAATTCAAAAGTCCCTTTTTAGTAGCCTAGAATGATAATCTTCTGACAAGAATCTATTGATTTCTACCCATCTAAATGACTCCATTAACTTGCTTTCCAGTACATATATATTCATTATTTAGCCATTATTTTATTTAACCCAGACAACAGTGTACTTTATTTGACACCCCAGTGTTTTCCTAAGGAATTTATTTAAATCACATAAAATTGTAATTCTATTTACTTTATATTTCTGTTGTTACCAAAATAAAAAAAGAACTCTATCACCTTGTTATTTATGAGTGAATCTTGCAATTCTAATTTGATGTGGAATAATGGTCAAGTCAGCTAGTCTCAAGGCTGCAAAGATTGATTATTAAACAGGCTATTAAAATGGATGAACTTTTTGGATGCTGTTTTGTGGCTTGTGTTGTGTATAAATATACCTTAGGGCATTTCATGTAGTATCTAGTGTCTTTATGTAATTGATGCATATTTATTTTCAAGTTTCCAATTTGAAAAAAATTTGGTCTTATACAAAACACTCCATACTGAGCATCCAAATTACTAATTCATGAGAAAATTATTTATATTATGTAGCTCTCTAAGTGAATTACCTATGAAAGTATTATATTATATAAAGGAATATTTTCTGTTCCCTGTTTGTCTAGTACTGTCTTGTTGGGCAGTCATCTTACACAGGAGTGTGAACTTTGGATGACTTCACACCTCCTGGCTTTCTAAGGAGTCTACAATTGTAGAGAATTGTAAAGGAAATAAGTACCATGCATATGGTTTCTTAAGTCTTGCCTGCCTCAAAATATACTACAGTAGGTTAAATTTGCAAGATAAAGAAATACATTTCCAATTTTCAAGAACATCAACCAAAAACATTAAAGTTGAAGGGTCTCTGGCTCTGTGTAATGTGTCTATTGGGTATACGAGAAGCTTGGTTGGTAGATAATTTGGTGTCCTAGAGTCAGTGACTTAGTAGAATCATGTGACAGGAGCAATGATGTCTCATTTAGAAGTTTTTTTTCCCCTTACTTAACTGGAAACACTGATGCTTAAAAATGACTTCAAATTTAGACTTTAAAAGGTTTCATTTTTTTTTTCAGTTATTTTCAATACTCATTCTTAGAAAATCCCTAACTATATCTACTTTGACACAGCCAAAGCAGAGAAGTTTAGGGACAGTAATCATGCCCCAGTTTAAACCAAGCATGAATTGAAGAGGGAGGGGAGGAGGAAAACAAACAAACAAAAGATGTGTTAAGTGAATCTGATTGCCACGTTTAATTCCTATAGATTAGTTCTATATTGTTCTAAATGAAATAAAACCTACCCTATCAAATTTTATTATGAAAATTTGGTTCAATTAGGAGGAAAACCTCCTCTTAATTCATTTAGCACAGCATTGTTCTGGTTGTCTTTGGAATAATGACAAAATAATTATGCATTATTTTAGGATCAACATTATGTGTACATATGAATATGTAACTATAATGTTATATATCCTAATCTTATTATTTATGAGTTTATTCTCCTAGAAAAAAACAAATACAATTATATGCTGTCAGCTAGACAAACTGAATGCAAACTTATCATGGTAATTAAGAAAGTAGTTTAACTATTTGCATTACTATTTAATTATTCTCTAAAGTAAAATATCAAACTTTGATGTTTCCTACACATATATTACATGAACTCCTACTATGTATGTATATATGTATGTATGTATGTATTGAGAAGGATCTCACTCTGTAGCCCTGGCTGGTTTGAAAATCAAGGAGACCTCTCTGCCTCTGCCTTCTAAGTGCTGAGAGTAAGATATGAAGTATTATGCCCATTTGTTAACTTCCAGCATTATACAATATCTCCAGAAAATAACTGAAAACATTAGATTTCATATGAAACTAGAATAAACTAAATAGCAAACAATAGAATATTAGTTTGCTTTGTCTCATTTGTGTAACATAACGCCAACATAAAATTACCATAGTTGATCCATATAACTTTAATATTTTCATATTAGCAACATTCTTCTGCATGAGTTACAAAATCTATTGCTTCCTTATTTCTCTCAAATTGTAAATTAAAACATGTATAATTAAAAACAAAGTTAAATTATATATGTGTTTTTGCAAAAATATAAAATAGATTTGAGCAATATTTTCAACATAAAAGTCTTTGCACATTTGCTAACATGGATGATATTTCTAATAAATGATCATCATCATCAACTCTAAAAAATAAGGTTAAATATAATTAAAAGAAGCAGTAATAAATAACACAAGAGAACACAGAATAGTTTTAAAATTTTACAATATACTAATTTTCTTTTCTGAGCATATTATAAAAGGTTCAACTGTGTGAAATCATTAGACAGAAAGTATTAGACATATCTGATAGTTAAATGGAGAGATAGATATAGTTGCCCAGTTTTCCAAATATACAGAAAATAAGTGATTCTGGAGGCAAGGTTATAAATATTTTATGCATATATACATTTTTGGTTTTATTTCAATATAAATTTAGATGTACATAAGGATTCTTAACACTTATATTTTTAAACGATGAAGGATTAAATTTACTGATGAGACATATTTCATTGAAACTATAAATCACATTTGTCCACAGACTCATGAGCTAATTTAAAAAATATATTTCTTTCAAATTTCATTTTTTAAAAATTTGGGATGTGTATTGTGTGTGTGTGTGTGTGTGTGTGTGTGTGTGTGTGTGTGTGTGTGTGTGTATTTATGTGCATATGTCCTCAGAGGCTAAAAGAGGGTTTTCAACCTTCTGGAGAGGGAGTAACAATTGATTTTTGAGATGCCTGGCATAGGTGCTGGGAACTGAAGTAGATTCTTGTGTAAAAACAGTAACAATCACTAACTGTCAATAAATCTCATGGCTACTTATGATATAATTAAAGCCCCATTAATCTCACAAATAGCATTTGATATCATTTCATTTTCAATAAAAAAATTTGATAATTATAATATGTTTTTTTACTTTTATTTATTTATTTAATACTTTTTTTTTCTCATTTTCCATATAACTTCCAGTTTGCACTAAGGCTCCATTCTGGTCCCCTTGCCAGAGGTCCCATAGACTGCCCAGTCCTCCTGGCTGACACCCATGTTCCAGGGGGCTGGTTTGGTCCTATGTTGGGTCCCCAGCTGTCAGTGTTCCCACTTGAACAGGTCAGCTGTTTATGTGGATTTTCCTAGCATGGTCTTGACCCTTTCGTTCACCGCTCCCCCCCTCCCCCCCCCCCCGTACCTGGATTCCAGTAGTTTAGCTCGT